TGAGTGGCGCACCGAAACGTCGTTTTCTAGTTGCTTAATCACTGCTTTTGTCAATGTTGAAATGTTGTTTAACTGGTTGCTTAGTCACTGTTTTTGTCGATGTTGAAACATCGTTTAATTGGTTTTTGGTATTGTTTCTGAACACCCCAAGTAAGAATGAATTTTGTGTGTAGTTAAGTTAGAGACTAAGAGGCCTTTAACCATGCCAACATGCAGTTCATTTGTTAAAATGTAATCTTTGCGGAGTCAATATAGATTAATGCTACCTTAAGTACCATAATCTACATTGGTCTCACAACGCTTAAGCCAAACCTACTCGAACAATTCTATTCGGGGGGACTAGCTAATTCTTTTTGATGAGTCTCGCCATAGACTTCCAAAACATTTATGGGGAAACCAAACACCCAATCTCAAGTCGTTCGTCTAAAAGACAACAGACAATTGAACCAAACTATATTTTACCATGTAAAGCTAACTTAAACCAAGTTAGGAATGGAAAAATAGTTTGGAACACTCTTCTATAGGTATAAACCCCTATAGTTACCCTTTTCAGCATGTTCCACCTCTTAACTGGTAGCTGTAGCTGTTCCCAATCATGATAGCTTACACACCAGGTGCATATAGTTTAAGGCCTTATGTAAAATCCCCTTCATAAGCCCACCTTAAACCACATAATGCATGTCACATTGAACCAGAACGGCACAGACTGGACATCCACCCAGCGATGACCTTCGCTGGAGGAGACCTGCAAACCTGACGTTGGTCTCCACGCTTCATCCAGTGGCCGCATCTTCAGTTCAATCCAAGGGAACCCCTCTGTATGCTGATGAATCAACACTTCCAATCGTTGTGGATTTACCGTTGTGGATTATATGACGTTTTCCAATGGATTACAGACTCTGTTTCCAAGGGGTTAAAGCATTGCTACAATGGAATTACCAACAACATTATGGAATTATCATCAACACAATGGAATTACCAACAACATTATGGAATTACTATCAACACAATGGAATTAACAAGAACGTAGAATTACCTCCTTTGACTTTTGTATTCCTTGCTGGATTACATCAAGCTCAAGGACATTCGAAGGCGTAAGTTCATGTTGGAATTCATCCCCATGGACAGGCGATGATTTCCAAAGGGGGGACTGTAGTGAACTAGGCCTCAGGTCAAATCTGGCCTTGAGGGGCCTTCCTGGGACAAGAACTGTATTTCATTGATTTAAGTCCATCCAGAAGACTTTCTAAGTGTCCTGCACTGATCAATTGAAAGAACACTCTCTTTTTCTATTGTCATTACTATTTTACAAATGTTTTGATAATCGAAGTGTGTTAGTTCAAACCATTTTTAAATGTTGAAGTGAACTACTCATTTTTAAATCAACTGTGAAGCAGTAATAACTATTTTTAATCCTCATTCAAAGTGGAAATCAAGTTAGAATATGTTACAGAGTAATGATTCAAGTTCTTGATCGTCTGTCTGAAATGAGCAAGTTGTGTAAGTTGGTCAAAGTTCAAGTTTCGGTCAACTGCAAGTTTACTGAAAAAGAAATGTCATGTTTAACTTTTTCAGGCAGATATGAGAGAGTTGACTCCACGAAGTCTGAGTTCTTCATAACAATCTTCTGTCTGTTCCTAAACACTTAATCTTTTTCCTTGACTTTTTAATAACCTCTTACATCACCAAAACACACCTCTGTTTGGTCCAACCGACCAATCAGAAAGTCCTCAAATGAACCGGAAGTGACCCTTTTTAAAAGGTGCAACACTTCCTAGTTCAAACTGGTTCCAGCTCCAGTCGAGTTCAGAGGAGGAGTTCAGAGTTCTGCAGGAGCTCGAGAAGCTCAGAGAGTGCGGGAGAAGTTCTGAGTAGTTCTGGGAAGAACGCTCAGGAGAACGCTGAGAGAATGCTGTGAGTTGGTTCCGAGGGCAGCAGAGTTCAGAATGCTGGAATGCAGAATGCTCAGGACATCTGCGACTAAGCTGAACAAGAGAAGTCCAGAGGAATTATATGAAGTCTGTTCTGGATGATCTCACGACTCCGAACGGTTCCCTACTATCCTTACGGAGACGCTGAAAAGTGGCTTGAAGTGGAACTTTACGCCGGAACTGAAATATCTTCAGAAAGGTAAAAAGTCGATCTTCAACCGCAAAGTGTACCGTTTGGTGAAACTGGGTCTAGAAGGAGCGTGTCGTTCTGGTTATAACAGACAAATTCCCTCACCCATCTCTCTCAAGATAAACTTCATTTTCCATCTTTAAACTCTTCTTTTTGCTAGAAATCATTCCAGATATTTTCAGAAATGTCTGTTGTGAAGTTTTCAACCATCGCCGTATGGTTAATCAAATTGTACAGCTTGCTAACTAAGCCATGCTGTTATTTTCATTTTGCCAAATTAATGTAAATGTGTGATGTGTTTAAATCGTTTTTAAATAAATGACCCACTGTCGTTGGTGAGTCAAAGATAAACACGTTTCCGTCCACATTTAATTAAATTCAATGCACGACATTATTCAGTCCAGAAAAATGAAAGAATCCGTTTAATTTATGAATATATCATCTACACTATCCATCCTTCTGTTCAAACGGTCTTATACTGCCATCCGGTGGTAAAAAATGTACTACACACAAAAATGAACCGTTTCTTCTTAAATTTAACAGTAATAACTAATTATTGTCAAATTTCAAACAATATTATCGTTTATCTCAATTTCTGAGACAATTAATCGCCCAGCAACATTTGTTATCGTGACAGGCCTAACCATAAAAAGGGTGATAAAGGCCGAAATCGTCACCATATGCAGGTGAATGCAGCCAGATTCAAATTCAAAAATATCTACAATAAAATATAGATAATAGATCTTAATAGAAATAGATTTTAGCAGCAAATGCTTCAATATTAGAAAATAAAACATGTGTTAGGGGAGCAGCTGGGAATAACAAGGGCTCAGCATACTCCATCTGAAGCTGAACTCACGGTCACGTGGTTGTGGAGCGTTTGTTTTCACACAAACACCTTTCATGGTCCACGAGACACACGGTGCAGAGCTCCTGGGAAACCCCTCCCGCTGCAGTGCACGTCACTGCACGGCGTCTTCCCACCAGAGTCTCCACTTCGTTCCTGCAGCCGCCACTTGGCCACAAATCTATCATGAAGACAGCGCCACACTTTTCAGCAGATGGACTCCTCCATACACGACGTCTCCACCCAGGAGTTGTTGGCCATTTGACTAATTCAGTGTGTTTGAAGAGTCCGACGGCTGAATGTACGAGCGCATTTATGACTTGATGAACACGCCCGCAATCACACACTTGGCTCACACGACTGTGAGAAGAGGGCGAAGATGCTCTGAGAACAAAATGACGCAATGTTCGCCGCTTCAGATGGAGTATGCAGGACCCTTCATTGACCTTCGAATCTACAGGCTGTTTACCACAGCTACAGCGCCATCTGCTGGCCAAAATGTGCAATGACATCAACAAACATCTGAAGATGCTCAAAATGTGTAGCTCTACCAGGACTAAGCTCCACCAGATAAGGCAACTTCTCAGGAGGCAGCAAGCCGTCCTTCCCTCTGAGCCCTTTGTCGTCCACCTTCCTTCCTTTCCTCCCCTGGTAGTCAGGTGGTCTCTTCTTCAGCTGGAACACCATCGATCCTGAAACATAAAGAGGAGAGGCGTTTTAAAAACTGCCCGCACAATGAGTAGAAACTCCAAATAAAGACACGCCCTGTTTGTTGTTTAAAGTGAGCCAGTTCAAGCTCTTTAACAAAAAGAAGTTTTAATTTTGTCGAATTTAGAAAAAGATTTGATGATAACACGTTTAAAACTTATAACCAGAACAATAACGGCAGAGCAGCTCTGGTGACATGTCAGACAGATGCTATCCTTCTAATCGCATCTTTTTCAACCATCTGGGACATTACACTAAACGTGGAAGAGCTTTTATCTTTAGAAAACGTGCACGTTTGTTGCGAGTTGTGCAGAATTTAAAATGATCTCTAACAATGTGTTTCTGTGATCAAACTGCACGTACTGAGATCATTTGCTGCGTGAGAACACACTTCAGAGCCAAAACTCTGCTTCTTTGAAGCGTGTTCCAATACAGATGTGAGGTTTCATTAAAACACACATTAAATATGATCTCAGTCTTTTAAATTCAGATAAAAACAAAGTGATTCTGTACAAAACAAGTGTTCAAACTCAGGCAATTTCATTAACATTGGAAAAAAACAACAACTTGTCTTACGTTAAATTCTGCAAAAATATTAAGCCAAGCAACTGCAAGTTCGGACCATCGAAGAAGGTATAAAAGCTTCAACTGTACGTGTCTAGTCAATAGAAATACACTGAAGATGAGCTCAACATGTTTAAATATATATATTTGTAATATGCTTGTCTCGGATCAGAACAGCTGCTGAGTGTATGTTGGGGGAATTATTATTTTGACAAACATGAAATGTGTTCAAGTTTGAATAAAGGGTCTTACGGAAACATCAGCGTGTGTTTTACGTGTTAAAACCACGTGTGTAACAGACTGAGTGTAAGTTTGCATAAATAATGCGTAACTGAGATCTGATACTCAGCTGTCACTCAGAATAATCGAGTGGACGTTTACGCCTTTAGAGCCGTCCACTTGTGATGAAAGCACCAAGAAATTAAACCAAAACTCAAAGAGCCTCAATGTTGTCTACACTGAAATACATTTTTAAAAAGCTGCACGTACCGTCCAACTTTTCTCAGATTTTGTACAGAACTAGTCATAAAGTTAATTGTAATGACTGAATGGCACCAGAAGGGGACAGCAGACACCATGAAAAAATACAGTGTTCAGCAAACATTGTACACTAAACTTAAATAGTTAAAGTGTGTTCTACCTCTGTCTGCAGGCCAGTCTCTGAAGATCTGCAGCGGACACTCGGAATCATCCAGAATCACATCTTTGCCCGATTTTTCATCTTGCTGCAAACAAAACGAGAAAAAAAGAAATCCAGCTGTAAACTTAAATTAAACTCTGATGTTCAAACCATTGCCATAAATAAATTTATCAGGAGAATATTTTATTAATAAGTTAGAATATTTTAGCTCCAAAAATGCAGGGAATAAACTTATTTATAGGTCTTTTAGGTTGTGAGACGAGATGTGAACTCCCTCTGAGAGCACAGAAAAGGGAAACTAAACTGTTGTCACTGACCACGTATATACTGGAGTTTAGTGTCACCATCTTAGAGGAGGCGACTGCTTTCACTTCTCAACTCTGCTCATGTTTATCACAGTAAACACCCTCCTCCTGCACTACGGGTGGGAATCGTTAGGAACCTCACAATCCAGAAGCTGTGACGCAATTACAAAATGTTTATTGGTGCATTTGGATTATTTTGAAACTTTAATGATTTTGGCGTAAATAACCACAGACATGTTCTCATACCTAATTTAAAAAAAACAACTTTTAATAACAGGCTGCTGACCAACAATTACTAGAGACGCTACTTAATGAAAACGACAGAGAAGCTAACGTGATTAGCATCAAGTCTATCTCTGCATGTGAACCCCCCAACCCGCTGCTTGAAAGTCATTACTAGAGACAGGCAGGTTACGATAACTTCAACTCTCACTTACAAACGGGTATTCAGGTTCAGCAAACACAAAATATAAAAAGACGGGAGAACAAGCAGCTTCACTGCCTCGTGTTTCTACTACACGAAGCTACGGATCGGATTGGATTAACGGCACCGTGCAGGAACCTGGTGACTCTCATAAAGTGGCAGCACAGATTAAGAATTGATTTGTAATCTGGATGTCTGCAATGTGATCCATCTGAAAAAAGATTTTACTCCCCACCCTTATACAACACACCGACAGACACCCATTGTTACCACAGCTCCTGCTCACTCAGGCCCCATTTAAACCGGGGGGGGGGGGGGGGGGGGGGTGTTCCAATGGTGAATAGAGGAAAAAAATCTGCGTCGACACAGAGCGCATTCGGTGTTTACATGTAACCGCAGCAACACCCCCCCACCACGACCTTGTCACAATCACAGCAGTAGCCGAGGAACAAGACCTGTGTAAGGTCAAAGGTCAATCCTACTTCATGCCAAGGTCATGCTGCTTCCTCAATATGATGCCACCATGTTGAACAAGAGTACAGCATACGGCAGATTATATGCCCCTCGACAAACTACTATACAGCAATCTACAGCAATGGCTCAGACAAGTAGGCTTTGACCTTGATGTGTGACCTTGATCTTAGAGCTGGGGTGATGAAAAGATTGCAAGACACCGTCTAGTGGTGGTAGAACGTTGAATCAAGTTTCTTTAAATTATCTTGAGCGGATCAGAAGTTATGGTCCAGACTCCAGACAAGTCTAATTGTTGACCTTGATGTGTGACCTTGATATCAAAGTTGGGGTAAAGTATATACGACACTTCATCTTGTGATGCACATGTGAAGTATGTTTAGTTAAATTGTCTTGAGCAGATCAGAAGCCATGGAGAAAGTTTCCAGTTTACAGAGACCAGCACGGCAACAACCACCTCACGACAGGCGTTTGGTGCACGATCCAAAACCATTGTAGATCTATCACGCAAAAATGAAGAGCTCGCAGAGTTCTTAACACGCAACGAAAACTGCAAAGATCGATCCGTGTTCAGGCAGTTTGCATCCCAGGTGTGTCGCTCGGTGTTAAGGTCCGACCTCGTGAACTTTTCCTGCAACGTGCAACTGTCTCTGCTGTGTTTATCTGTAGGTAGTTACGTTTTGTCTCTGGAGAACCTTTTGCTACTGTTTCTTATGAATGGTTACAATCAGAGACCATCTGGAAGCACAGATATGAGAGGGTGTGTGTGTGTGGGGGGGGGTAAACACACTGAGCCGCGACAGTCTGAAGAAACTGAACTGCATTCCTCCTGAAGGGTCGTGTTAGTGCCGAGAGGAAATCTGCTTCAATTTGCCAGTCGGGTGAAGTGTGCGTTTTCACCAGTGACCTCGACTTTCCTCCCATCAGAAGTATGATGGTGCGAACTGTCGGCTGGACCGAACTGTGCTGGTCCAAAATAAATAATTTCGGAATTCCACTTAAATCAAACGGTGAGAGGATTCTGTTCCATTATCAAAAGTAAAGAGTTTCTTGTGTTTCTGGCTCCATCGAACAGGATCGAAATGTGAATGAGGGTCAAACCAAGATCCTGAAATATAGAACATAAAAATATCTTTACCCGAGCGATGCAGTACTCTCTGGGGTTCTCCTTCTCCAGCCCGTACTTCTCCAGCGCCTCGACCACAGCGAAGTCAGCCGTGTTCCTCGTGGAGAGCAGGATGGTTTTGTACGGGATGTTGGGTTTCAAACTGTCGGCATAGATTCTTAAAGTACCGCCTGCAGACAGCAGAGTGTATATTTATTACGTTAAGCTGAAAAAAATGAAATAAAGCAAGAAGACAGACCTTTATAGTGCTTAGAGAAACATTTATTAGACATGACTATATATTAAAACATGAAAGATTGCTTCTCAACGTCATCTACAGTTTATTGGCATTAACATGTTTAAATTAACGTTTGGATCAGTACTCGTACACAATTTATAATGTTGTATTTCATCCTGCAGGGAATGCGACCACGCACTGAAAATGAAAACCTCTGCAGCAAAGCAGGATTTTCTGAAGCATTACATAAACTTGGTTTCTTTTTGTTATTTCAAACTGCAGGAAGAGCGTCTCTCCAAACCGCAGCCGTCCTGAATGAGCAGTGGTTCGAGCCGCTTCACTCCATCCGTCTGTCTGGCGGAGCAATTAGGCAACGCCTGAGTCACAGACCCAACCAGTCGGCGTGTTTGTGTCAGTCGCTGTGTGTGTAAACTGTAAACATCACATGCGACACTTTCAAACAACGTGTGGCGCTTCTGGAAACCAGTTTTCACAAAATCAAATGTGAAATTGTTCAAAAATAAAAAAAAGCAGAAACTAATCAGGGCGTATTAGGACGGGCTCAGTGTGTCGTACAAAAACGACCGGCGGTGGAGACGGCTGCGGAGAACCTCAACCGAGCGTGCGCAGCTGATCTGCTGGTAGATTCTCTGAAGCCGTGCCACAGCGCACAAGAAGCTGCAGTGAACTGTGATGTTCAGGTCACTCCGCAGATTAACTACTGACATCACAAGGACGCAACAACAAGTTCAAAAGCTGTTCCAGCTGTTTTTGACTGCACAGTTTGAGTCCTGAAAATCTGACTGCGTTCACACAGAAAGGAAGCTTCTACGCTCGGAAACATTTTTATTTCTTTAGATTTCTCAATTACCGTAATTTCCAGACTATAAGCCGCTACTTTTTTTTATCTGCTTTGAACACAGCCTATACAATGCTGCGGCTAATTTGTTTATTTTTTTGACGGGCTAACGAGCTTCATGCTGCCAAGACATTTAGCCGCGTCACATCCGGGAGCAATACACGTCTCTCTTGGGGGGTGGGTTCTCGTGACTCAATGAGACTACCTGTATAAATAAAAAGGTTAAAAAAAATCTGACCAATGAAATTACCGAACAGGTCACAGTTTGACTCATTCACTTTCATAGGTCCACTTGGTTCCCCCCCCCCTCAGGCTCCCTGGGGGCACAACAAAGCATTAAGACAGGCGGCGAGAAATCGTTTTCGCCGCATGCGAACAACAACTTTAGCTCAAGTCGGCCAGTGGATGACGACAGTGGAGCAGATTTTAAAAATCCTCCATCACCAACAGGTTTCGAAAGGCTGCTGCGCGATGATGAAGAAGAGGACAGCACAAGCTCAAAAGAGTGCAGTGCGCAGGAGGAAGATGAAGATGGCGATCAATGACTTCCTGGTAGGCTACTGTATTTTTGCTTTTGTTTTAACCAGACATGTTACAGGCATGGTTCAGAAAAAAAAAAAAATACTGTACGTATTTGTGTATGTTACCAGCACATATTTAATTAAAAGTTTAAAATATCTTTCTGTGTAAATATCTCATGTTACAACGTGGATACCTGCGGCTCATAGACAAGTGTGGTTTATATACGTACAATTATTATTATTATTTAATTTAGTGGGCGGGGCTTATATTCAGATGCGCTCAATAGTCTGGAAATTACGGTAATCTGTTTTGCACTTTGGATGGAGCCTGACCGTCTAAATAAACAATGAAAGTTTAATAGTTTTTGTTCTAGAGTTCTTGCACATATTCGTTCCAAAATTACACAATTTTTTAATTTTTTTTTTTAAGTTTGCATGTTTGGGCTTTATTATACAATATGGGGCGGCTGTGGCTGAGTGGTTAGAGCAGCCGTCCTCCAATGCAAGAGTTGGGGGTTCGATTCCACCAGCAGCCACATGCTGAAGTGTCCCTGGGCCGAACCCCTCATTGCCTCATGTGTCCCATCGGAATGTGATCTAAAGTTCTTTGTAAAGATCTAGTAGCAGTCCTTTTCTATCGTGGTAAGATAGAAAGGAGCTATATAAGTGCAGTCCATTGACAATTTACAATATGTATGCTCCACACAGACATGCATGCTCAAAAAAAAACAACAAAAAAAACAGCTCAGTGTGTTTTCGCAATCTAATTATAAAATTATTATTTTTTTTTATCCTTTTATCACAAACGTGATACTTTTTCATACCCTGCTCTTCACTCTTGACTCTGATCAGAACGTTCCCCGTAAAGTGAAGGAACATCCCTAAACAATTCAAATCCTCCTTGAATTTATTGAATTCAACAAACGATTAGTGAAGCAGCGCTGCCGCCCACTGACAGACGGAGGTGGTGGTGGTGGGGGTGGTGGGGCGGAACTAGTTTTAGATGTATTGCATCACAGACACGGGAGATTCAAATGTCAAAAACTGATTTTGTTAACGTTGATCTGCGCTGCCACTCAGTCGGCAGCGTTGTGGCTGTGCGATGTTATTTGTCCCAGTGGAGTTACCGTAGCTTCCTGTAGCTGAAACATGTTGCTTTTTTTACTTTTATTTGTTGAAACCTGAAAAATGTGTGTATAAATAATAACTGAGGGTTTCATAAAGTGACTGTTCTAAATAACTTTGAAACATCTGATTCGTGTGAAAAATCCCAGCGATAAAACACAAAGCTAATCTCGTTAGCTTTTCTGTGGCGTTTGCAACGTTAAGGAAGCATCTATGCTAATTATTAGTTAGCAGGTTACATTTTTTAAACCAATTTTATAGTGTACTCTTATTAGACTTTAAAATACATAAATCAGTGTTTATGTAAAATAAATCAGCCATTTAAATGCATCAAAAAATATTTTATTATTGTGTCACCACCGTCTGAATTGCAATTAAATTTAACACCTACTGACAGACACAGCAACGTAAATATTCAGATTATTTATGTTAGATATTAATTATTAGTTACTAATAAAGAAGAAGGAGGTATAAAACAACATTAATCTTCTCTAAAGGTGGTCTATTTTCTAATTTAGTATAAAATAATGGCTTTTTAAACTGTTAAGTTTAAACTGTTATTCTAATTAAACTAATGTAACATTCAATCGTGACTCCGTTCCTACTTGGTGTTGAACACGTTTGTGATACTAACCGATTGAATGTTACATTAGTTTAATTAGAATAACGACGACAAAACAATTTCTAAATGGTTTAATAATTTATATACCTCCCCTACCCCCCCCCCCAACTACCACAGTGACAATAAAGCAAACATTTAGTGGTGGGTGAGTTGATTTTCACAGGTCTGAAAACAGTGTCCACACTGGTTTGACACTTCATGGTTCTGCATTTATATTTAAATAATTGTTTTAAAACCTTAATCTGGGATTATAAGGTTTTAAGGTGGCAAACGTCTAAGCAGTTTAAAGAAAATAGATAATGTGGCCGACTGGAGTATAAGCAGTTATTATGAACTCTGAGTACAGCGAATTATTCACCTGCCCCGAAGAGTTTCCTTCTCTGCATCACCTGGATGTGCTCAGGCTGTCTTTATGCAGCAGATTATTTTTAACTGGTTCACAGATTAATCTGAACAGACAGCTGAGTGGGTTAAAACGTCTTCTTTTCATATTAATGAATCCCATTAAGCTTCAGGGAAATTTATACATCTGCACTTTCTCCCTGCTCCAACGCGTTCGCAGGCCTCAAGACGAAGAGCTCGGTCAAAGCCGCGGCTTTGCTCTTTGCTCCGACGGACACTGTGGTGAAAAACCCACGAAGCTGGAAGAGGCACCACTTTCTCACCAGAAACTGGGATCTGATGAAGCAAAAAGAAACTTAACTGAGAATAAATGATTTAAAATACCCGATTCTGGCCTCCCGTCGCTGCTCATGAACTCCTGCATGCGTTTCTCCAGTTTCTGCTGCCGTCTCCTCTTCATCACCACCTCCGGGTTGGAAATTGTTCTGGTAAAGCTGGTCTCAGGCATGTCCTTATAAACCTCGGCCGCCAGACAACTGTTTTCCCTAAATAGAAAATAAAAATAAAATGGTAGATAAATGTCAGTGAGCATGTGGGGGGAAGAAAAAGAGTTTAATTCGCTACTCGTTCCTCGTCATAAAGGAAATCCTCTCGAAGGACAGAGGATGTGGAGGAAGGAGCAGAAGACGACCGTTTCTTACCCGTCTTCACGGCCCAAAGTCTGTTCATCTCCATCGGGGATCCGAGCGAACTCCTTCTCCCTCTTCTTCTCCTTCTTCTTGTCCTTTTTAGACAAAGTCCTCTTGAAGTTCTGTATCACTCCATCTTTCTCCTTCTCCGGCCCGTTACTCTGGCTCTTCTGGCACAAAAAGAAAATTGCAAATCAGTTCCGGCGTGTAATAATATATTGAGATATGAACGAATGATTGTTCAAATGTGGAACAAAGCTTAAAGAGCTGCAAAACCTTCTTGGAGAACAAACGCTACAAGAGCCTCTTTATGGAAACGGCTCTGCATACGGCAGGAGTTATTTAAGCTGAACATCTCAGAATAACGTGAGCTTTCATGAATGGAGCAAATGTCGTGGAGATTAGGAGTGATACTCGGTGAGGGTAAACCGTGCACTTGAACATTTTCCATTCCAGATCCTGCACCCATCTGATCACAAACCCCCTCTGTCATCCCTTCATCACGTCTCTGAGCAGCAACCCCCCACTCACCTTACAATAAGTGCACGGTTAAAGCTCCGCCACTACCTCGGTGAGGAAGGTTTTCTTGTCAATACACCAAAGCTGTGACATCGTTCCAGCCTTGCATCCTCATGAAAACGGTGACAAAGAAGCCTCAGCATGGTGTGCTTTGAAAACAGGCTCCAGAGGGAGAAACGGTATCCTGGAGGTTTTGTGCAGAAAGCACAAAGATCCCCTCTAATCTAACCTACAACCTTCAGAAGTCTGTTGTTTTAATGTGTTAGCATTTCACACCCAGAGAGCAAGCTTTACATGTTCACATGGTGTACGCTACACTCAAGCCTGACACAGGTACATCCATGTTTTGGGTCAATTTTGGTGTTTCCGTGTAGATTAAGACATTTCTTTAAATTATGTCATGTTAATTAAGTTTTTTTTTTTTGTGAACAAGGCCTCGGTACTTTCAAAGGTCTTGCTTGAAAAAAGAAAGGATTTTTTTTTTTTTTATGTTACTTGCGCTAGAGCTGTCATTTCTAACCCGGAACCGAAGTCTGCTCCTGCCCAACCCGAATTTGGGGCAGGCCAGACCATAATAATGTGCTGGAGGGGCAGGCTGGGTCATGTCGGGTTTTTGATTGCGTCAGCGGATCAGCTGCGATCCAATTATATGGCAACATGGCTTGCCATAAAATCAAATTATAAGGCAACAAGGCTTGCCATAAAATCCAATTATATGGCAACATGGCTTGCCATACAATCACCAGCTGCACGCGGTCATTTCACCGCATGCTGACCGGCCTCGAAAGAGGTAAAATAAAGTTCAGTTAAGCTTCAGATGGGACTGTACTGCCAGGCAGTGATCCATCGTCCAAATGGACGTTCAGCTGTTGGACTCGGCGGACGCCGTGTACGGCTGACGACCCAAACAGGTGAGATCCCAAAGCAGACATGTCAAAGCAGGGTCTGTGTCTGAATAATGCAGAATGCAGGGAGGAACAGGGATTAAATGCACCTTGACAGCAATGAAAGGACAAAGGTATTGGTGTTTTTGGTATTTGCATTTTCTGTGATTGCAGAATTTTTCTTTTGCAGCGTTTTCCTGTTGAGTTTGTGTGTTTTGGTGTTTGTGTGTTTTGGTGTTTGTGTGTTTTGGTGTTTGCATTATTCATGCGTCTGCAGCGCGTTCCGCTGCTTTCTGCACGTTTACAGCTGTCGACCACCGTAGAACTGGGATCTACAATATCAACATGTAAATGTTTGGTGAAGACAACATGGTGTGCCATTCTGCCTCCTCTATTATGACATTATTACAAAATGTTACTCTGATAAGTGCAGGATGGAGACTTTTTTCCTTTCAGGAGCTCACAGAATCACAGTCAAAAGAACGAGCAGCTGACCTTGGGCAGGATGTCGTTCTCGTTCTTCAGGACGAAGCGTCCCTCTCTGTCGTCTTTGTTCCAGTTCAGCTGAACAACAAGAGGCTTCTCGTCCAGGTCCAGCTGACGCTCTTCTAACGCACGCATGAGAACACGAGTTAACCTCGGATCTGCCCGTTACTCAAAACGAACGATCAGTTCATCCGTAAGACTCACCGCCGCTGACGTGGACCTCGTACAGGGAGTACTTCGGAGAGGACAGCATCCTCATATCTGGTCTGAACTTCTCAGCCAACGTCTCAATGACATCCTGCGTCGTCGCTGTGCTGGAGACCCTGATGCACTTTGTGGCAAAGTTACCGGCCACCCGGTCCTGGAAGTAGAACCGCATCACGCCATGGAACTCGAGGTCCTTCAAAAAAAACAAAAACAAAGGGAGACCGAGTCCATTAGGTCTTTATATAAACTGGAGACTGAGGACAGACCATATGGATTCAGGACAACCTCATGTCTAAGGTCTCGAGAATTTAGTAAAATGTTTATTTTAGAAATAAAAACAAACATAAACAAAAATAAAATCTGTTGTTAATACCACACCGTGAATATAAAGCAGGACGGAGAGCGATGAGAGAAGAAACACAACACTGCCTGAAAACCTGCAAATTAAAAGTGTCGGCAACAAAAAGATTTACTAATTATTATAATAATTAATTAAATAATATTTACAGAGCAGGACCGTCTCACCACACAAAAAACTAGTTTTCTACACTACAAATGACTCCAGTGACACAAGGACAACACCATCGTACACCTACGGAGTAAATAATGGTCATTAACAGGCTACATGGGATATTTCAGAGTTTTTGTTAAATTAAGCTTCATCACCCTTTGATATAAATCTTCGTACATGAGTAGAAGATAATTTACTTATTAAAAGTAAAGTGAAACTACACAGTGACTAAGACTATTTGAATGTTCTGTAAAGATGTGAGCACAGATGCAAAGCAGAACTCTGTGGGTCAAAGTCTGAAGTAGACCCGTCACGATAACAAATGTTGCTGGGCGATTAATCGTCTCAGAAATTATTGCGATAAACGATAACATTGTTTGAAATTTGACGATAATTAGTAATTATACCATACCAATTTATTTCTAAAGCACTTAAAATACAATATAGCAGCCGTCCGAAGTGCTGTACAAAAAAATATATATAGTCAAATTTAAGAATAAATTGTAATTTATTTTGCAAGTAGTACCTTTTTTGACCACTGGATGGCAGTATAAGACTGTTTAAACCGAAGGATGGATAATAGTGAGGAAGCGAGCAGCGTGTCCATTTAAGAAAAATGGGAGGGAGGCCCCTTGACGTGACATGGGCTGTTTCTCTTCGGTTCTCAAAATGGCGGACGCTTGGTGTAGTTTGAGCTCTTTAGCATAGCATTTGTCATACAACACTTTTAATAAAATAATCAGTAAACAAGTTCTCAGCTTCTTTTTGCAAAGAAAAACTTTTTACACGAAGGCACGGGTTTCAACCGTGAACTTTAGAGCTTCAACAAGACGGAGGTTTATTTCCCCGAGGTCGGCCTGTTAGCTTAGCTCGTAGCTTAGCTTCTCCGCTTAGCTGCGTTTAGCGATCCAAAAATGTGATTTTGGACGATTAAATGGATTTTAACGAGAAGAGAGAAAGGGAGGGGTCGGTGAAGGACCGGAGTCGAGTCTTTTTTCATCCAGTGTCTTCAGTAGAAAGAGAGACATGAAGAAACGATAAAGACGATAAATAAAACGAGTTCGATCATTTATTTATCATGCGATTATTTGATTTATTGTGACAGGCCTACTCTGAAGTTACACATTTGTTCACCTTCTGCTTTCCACTTCACACCTTCACCTGATCAGATCAAGACGATTAAATCAAATAAAACCGAACAATCTGAATCTTCGGGAAAGATTTTAGCTGCTGAACCCTTTTGCACCTCGCATGACCTTCAGACTTTACATTTCTCAAGGAACTGAAGAAAGTCAAGAGTATTTCTTTGGGAAAGTTTTTGTAAATTCACTTAAATAACTCAAAAGTTTACGCATGACAAACGCTAAGTCTTAAGACTAGTCCCGATTAAGGAAAACGTTTAGATTTAAAATCGGTTTAAACAGAACAAAGTATGCAGACGTCATTAACAGACATGTTCCTGTTTTTAGTATTTTACATGGGTTCATAATGTAGCTCGTTTTGATTTTGTTTTATAGCACTACTTTTATATACTTTTCATTGTGTATGCTTTTACATTATTGTATATTGCTGTGTGTACCTCATCTCGTCTGTGGTTTTGTTTAAAAACAGGTCTCTGTTGTTAACGAGTCCTCGTGACTCGATGAGACTAACGTGTATAAATAAAGGTTGCATGGAAATTTTGATTTAAAAAAAAAAAAACAGAGGAAATTATAAAACGAAAGAAAACAATAGAGTGAATGTAGAATCAGCAGATTGCAAAATATTCTAGCATCCTCCCACTTCCTGGTACAGCATTAAACCATCGTCTCACAGCCAAAACACACGATATTTAAGTTTTACTGAATAAATAAAACAAAGCTGGTCCTCTCAACACTGCCAGGGCTGAGGGAAATTAATTTCCTACATGTCAACATTTCCTACGGCCAGACTAAGAGATAAGAACGTGTTAACGTGCAGCCAGTCCTGTCCTGATGTGCACATGTAACGCTCACAGCTCGGCACATTTGCAGGTGAAACTGCGCTCGCGTTTCATCCCAACTGCCATCAGAAAGATCTCAGATGTACAGCGGGGCTTGCAGCATTACATTCTCCACGTGTGTGATCCCGCTGATATCAAAAAATAAAACGTGCTGCTCTCAGGGACAAGAACTAATTAAAGTCAAACAAGATGTTTTACTACGGCTGCCGTAAATGCAACCGATGCGCTGCAGTGCAACAGGAATGTTCTTCAACTGTGACGTCATCCTGAAGAACCAGGACAAAAGTCTTTTGTTGCAGAGATAACACATTGGGGATTTTTATGTTAAATTCATTTCTACATAAAGTGAGGGATACCTTTAAAATTCATTTATACAGTTCTTTTTATTTTAAACCACGTCAGAAAGGATGTTGTGTCTTCGGAACAGGATGCTGGAAAGCCCTGTCACCACCTTGGACACAGATTTCATCCGCCAGGATTAAGAATTTAAACTTAATTTGATGAAACGAGTCCATGACAGCTGAACAATCAAAGATGATCGATCATTTACAAGGAGCCTCGAGTCCGGGTTGAGAAGTGTGGACATGTGAAACTCACGTTCCACATAATTTGGAGCATGAAATGAAGTAAATAAATTTAAAAAAAAGGCCGTGAACAGACAGCGACGTTAGAGTTTTCTGCACCGCGGAAAACGTTTCCCTCGTCTGTTTCGGTGCCGTCCTGTTCGAGGAGAGTGGAAACACTGAGCAAAGTTTCGATAGGCGGCTAGGGTGGAGTCAGGAATGTGTGTGTGTTGTGATTTACTGCTGGAATGTGGGTCATGGAGGGTTGCGGAGCTTGTGCAACCGTTAGTAACTGTTACCGTGGAGACACCAGCCCTCTTGGTTTCACACAAAGCCCAGCTTGGAGCGAGCTGTGGATAATTAACCAGTTAAAGCACAATCACCTCTTCGCCTCCCGGGATCGGTCAAGTACAGAAACTTGGGAGTTCAGCTTCAGTGCAAAAGCAGCTCTCCTCTGCAAAGTAAAGGCATGAAATCAATCCTGCCCGCGAGATGTTTCAACTGAATCATGTTAACAAAGATGATCCTTCACCTCACAGCGGGGTGCATCAGCAAAACTAGCTCAAGGGTCACAGCTTTTCTTAGACGATCTTTGATAACTGCAGACTTTCTGTTATCGTTTGTCCTAAAAAAATAAATAAATTTAAAAAAAAAAATCTAGTTGACACGCACATCTGGCTCTTGTCACATTCTTGGGTTTCAAATTATTTAAAACTTTAGTCCCTGGTTGTGATTTGGGCTGTAAAGTAGGAGTGAACGATAATAGAAAACCTTTCAATATTATTGTTTAACACTGTGATGAAGATATCAAATGACATAAACGCAACACTTTCAACACTTTTCATCTTTTCTTCCTAAATCTAAACCAGATGAGGTCATCAAGGTCAAACTGACCAAATATTAGCCTAGACAAAATATGGTACTTGAATTTTGCTATAATGTTTTATGATTTAAGGAAGAAGCAGGAAGATGGATGGATGGATGGATGGATGGATGGATGGATGGATGGATGGATGGATGGATGGCTGGATGGATGGATGGATGGATGGATGGATGGACAGCAGCAGTCCAAGCAGACCTTTGTGGCACAGATATAAATGGTCTAGATATTGTGCAGCCCTGTTTTAGATCACTATAATATGTTAAATATCGAGGAAGATTTTGTAAATGCTGCCAAGTTAAACATGTAAAATGAATGAAATACAAAAATATTTAATATTTATTTAATTTGGCAATAGTAACACCTGCAGACAGGTCCCACAACATGTGCATTTGTTTTATATCACCTTGGACTCCATGTAGTTACCCGATCCCTTTAGATTTGTTTTAATATCCTGAACGTGCATGATAAAAACATCAACGTGAGACGCATCACTTGAATCAGTAGTGCTGCTTCATGTGACCTGGACTCATCCCAACACCCACTGGAGCAGACTTTCTCTACTTTCCTACAGCTCCTCACAGCCCAGGGTTCAATCTGATCCACACAAAAATGATGGAGGCTTCCAACAACATACCTTCATCATCGCAATCAAATATTAAAACAAATACAGATGGCAATAAGAATCCTAAAACAACATTAAATCCATAATATTGGTCCCACATAAGGCATGGTTTACAAGTAATTTAATTACATAATAAATAGCAGGCCTTGTGGACGTATCTATTATATTTTCAGGCTACCCAGACTCGTTTTGCCGGAGTGCTGGACGACAGAGACGCTCTCCTCACAGCTGGCAGTTGTCCTAAATTCAAACTCCGACGGCTAAGAGACGCAGGTAGGAGTTGATTGTGCCTTTCAAAGACTGTCTTTATTATATTTTTTTATTTTAAAAAAGTATTTATGTTTAACAAAATGAAATACTTTATTTTTGGTAAAAACAGTATTTGTTTAGTGAAGTCAAGAAAGACACTTTTAAATAAAGCAAGTATTTGTTTATGATTCTGAAGTCAAGAAATACTTTATTTTTTTATAAAAAGTACAAGTCAAGAAATACCTTTTTTTTTTTTTTTTAAATATGTATTTTTTTCCTGAAAGTTTTTAAGTTCAATATGTCAGGATGTTCCCACTTTCAGTAAAGTATTGACAAAGCTCAATGTAATTTTTATGTTGAGGTGGTGGAGGGTTGTTGTCAGCA